GAGCGAGTTAATTACGAGTTGATGTAGGTACGATTCGCTTAACGGAAAGTTAACTAGCTTTGTCCTTCGTTATTCACCAGCCACACACGCGCCGAGTTTTCCAACGTGACATTATGTAATGTTTTCGTAAAAGTACTAATGTCCGATGTGAATCCACTGGAGTTAAATGATAAATGTTTCTGTTCAATATATCTAAAGTTCCCGATTAAAAAGCGTTAATTACAGTTATAGCTTACGAAGTTTATAGCACACTGACTATAGCAAACTAATGATAGATACTCTTTTTAGGCGCGTCGCGTTGGTTATACTTATAGGCGTGTGGAGAGTTTCTCGAAAATTCAGATTATGTAACAATACAAAGCTACACTGGCGTTTACGTACACACATTTATTGTTGATTCTTACACTCGAGAATCTTCTACAACTTTAGAGAATAGGCGGGAGTTCCACAATACATATTTAACAGTATAATTTATGTATATTTCCAAATATAAATTAAATTTAAACAAACGTCGATATTAAAATAAATATATAATAATAAATATAATAATAAATCCGTTACACTTTTGATTCATTATAAAGTACAATATTGCATTTTGTTTGTAGTATATTTCATACATCAATGTGATTACAGTATCACATTCATAAGAATATATTAAATTTACATTAAAGCAAATTGAACATAATATTACAAACATATTTACGTTTGAAATTTTAATATTTGAGGAGGGATAACGGGGGATGGGGGAATAGAGCTAGGCTTATCCTTTTCACCAGAACGGGTACGCATTCATGTATAAGATAATCTAAATAATCTCCATAAGGGCCTATTTATCCTTGCCAGTGAAGGAAAATGATATTTCCATAAGGAAGCCCTAATTTAAAACAGGTTCGTCGTTTATTTTCAAAAATCATACCCTATTTCGCGTGTTCTGGTCGTTTCAAATAGTTTTCCTTTGTCTTGTTAAACTTTTACTGCCCAAATTACTTGACGTTGTGAATAAGATAGAAACTTAAACAGTTTGTATAATAATATGCACTATAAATTTAAATAATGAATTTATACTCCTTTTTTTTCCTGTTCGATTATTGCAACAGCGCATAAAGTAAGAAAAAAGTACTGAAATAATGATCAAAAATTAAAGTTGAACTGTATATCTAACTACTGATACTAGAAGTATTGTCAATAAAACTGCATTAAACAGTTGCAGCAAACAGGAAAGATGACTAGAATTCAGCCACGTGAGAAGTCTTAGCCAATTGCACTGCAGCTTTGTTGGCACGTGCCATAATTCTTTTCAACCATGGTTGTGGTTTTCGTTTGGCTCTCGTCAATGTACTCGCCATGGTAGCATTGATTACGCATTATTATCCGACACCTCGATTTTAATTACAATAAGCTTTTGCAAAGGACGGTGAGGTCAATTTTAAACCACACAAGTCTTGATAACTTTCCGCATACCCTGCAGTGTACATGCAAATTGATTCCCAAGACCCCGTTTAGTTATTTTTCCAATGTGAACAGCTGCTGTTTTTGAGACGTGGTTTGAAGCTTGCGAACTTTTGGTTTGCGAGTCTTCGTTGCCTTAAACCCACTGTTTATTATTTTAGGAAAATTGCATCAGATAATATCCCCACCTTCGTTGTAATGACTTGCTATACCTCCTTCGTAACCACAGCTTTAATTTTATGACCGAGAATTACTCCAGATTGGTTTGGGGTGTGAAAGGCATTACTGTAAGAGCTTTTCTGCTTCCGTGGAAGACATTAATAGGTTCCTTCTTCGAAATGTTGTGCCCCTTCGTTCTGCATCATTTAACTATATTACTTTACGAATTCCCTTTTTACTGAACGGGCTGTGACATAATATTTGAAATATAAATTTATCAGTTGCGACAGTGAACTGTCAATTGGTCAGGAATTCATCTCGAATCAAATATCCAGGTGTCAGTAATGTCGTTAGTGGCATATCTACATTATCATGTGTAAATCGCTCTTAGAAATGGATATTAACCTTGTCTTCAACTTATATAAAAACTCTTTATTAATACAGTACGAGCTTAAATCGGACACACTAGAGAGATTATGAATTCTAAAACATTAAAAGGATAATACATATACTTTCTTGGCCCTCATAAAACTTACAGCTGAGAATGAAAGGAACTTACTCTTACAAAATATCAAATCTTGCCTTTACTTAAGTCTTTTTGCGTGTATAAAACTGCTGACAAACCGCGAAATTATGTTAATAATACTGTGTACAAACTGTTTACTACATCAAATATAAGGTGACAATTTATAACTATAACTACTTTCTTATTAACAAAATCTCTGCAATCAATGCCGTTCCTGGTGCTTTTTTTTTAATTAAAGAATTTTAAAAACTCATTACTTGATACGTAATACATTCATAAAATCTCGCTCATGTCACGTACTGCAAGGTTTTTTACCCACTCTGCTATTGGTTGAATTGTATAAATTATTTGAGCGGCGATTCGTCAATTTCCTGTTTTCAAGTGTATTATTCACTTCAATTGTAGAAGGTCTAGTTGGTGAAAGCATTGCTTGGAAGTTATGACAGCGTATACAAAGTGACATGTGTCTCTCGCAGTTAACAATGTTTTTCTGCTAGTAGTTATATACCTGTTTCATAAAAGAAATTTCAATTTAAATATTTTTTGTTCAGTTATTACAGTTTTCCTCCAAGGATATGCTATTCTGTGTATGTGGATTTGTTTGCAGGCAAGTTATTTAGTTATTTAATATTTCAAAGAAAAAAACTTCAGGTTTATTTTAATACCTTAACTTGTGGTAACCGATTGCGTTTTACCTGTAATTTTCAGTTTAATATTTTATCTGGAAGTTTTCAGTTATATCCAATCAGAGATAAAGTATAATTTTTTAGGATAGTAAACTCTCGTAACAGATTTTGTTTTTATACTATTGCTGAAAAAAAAGTGAACACTGATAACAAAGCTAAAAAAACAAACGAAACCGTGAATATTTGTTTTGTTGTTAAGCGCAAAGGTATACAATGGGCTATATGTGCTGTGCCCATCACGGTATCGAAACCCGGTTTTTAGCGTTATAAGCCTTCCGACTTGCTTCTAGCCACTGGTGGGCACCTGTGACTTAAATAAAACATTCAATAAATTCTTATAACAAATTGAATTAATATTTAATCCTATATTTATAATCCAGTCTTTATCTCATCTCTATATCAGGATGTAAAAAAACATACAAACAAGCGGATCTTCAAGAAGATGAGAAGTGCTAATTCATCTTTACACAACCAGCTAAGCACGAGTTACGTCGAGTAGCAGTTCTTAGTTCGTTGAAATGTACTGCGTTTCAAAGAATTGTTCTTGCGCTTGTGTATATGTATGGCAAGGGAAAAAATATCTGCGTATGTGCTTGTGTTTAAATGATGTTTTTATTAATTTCTTCTCTGACTGTGTGCCAAATTCCCAGCAGTATGACAGAATACTGGCACTGACAAAAGTACTACATTACTCAGCGAATCAGCAGTGACTGTAGAGGAAACCTGACATTGGTAGTGTGTTTTAATGTAGATTCTCAACCAGAATCAAGAGTTAATAATTCTCTCTTAAAGTTCAGTTAAGACTAATAAATGCAGTCAAGCGTGTCTCCAAAACAATTATTTGTCAGATTGTCCCAGATTATACGTTGCTTGCATTATTTGTTACTGTAAGTATCGAAACAAAAGAACGTTCATACTCAGATTTTAAGTGAATTCAGCCCTCTTCCTGTATTGTTCATTTGTTATGTGCTTGAAATACATGCATACTCTAAAACTGTGATTCTGATTGATGCATTTTTTTTTCAGAACTTCTTTACAATGTTTTAGGAAAATGCCCTCCACCAGGACTCACATAGTGTCTATTTATTCATCAAATTTTGCTTTCCCACCTTTTTCTGAAATGTGTTAGAATGGTTTAGAAGTTATGTTAATACGTGAAAGAAAAATAAGTTTGGATAAAAGGTTTAAAATTGCTTTTGGATACTTTATAAAGTTTAGTTTTATACTACTAAGTGAAGATAAAGTTCGGCAAAACAGTTTTTCGGTTGGTAAAAATATGTGAGCACTCAGCGACTTCTAGTAATATGCTTTTATCTCAGATTTCAGATCATCCGCGGTGCATACGTGTAATAATTTTTCATTTGTGGTATTGAATACGAAATACCTAAAACTCTGTTATAACATCGATGAGCTTAGTACTGATGTATTGTCAAGAATTAACATCCTTTCACTCCGTAGATATATTATCAATTATTCACACTCTGTCACTTCCCCCAGTATTTTATCAAGTATTCCCCCTTCGCCACTTCTCCCCACTATATAACTAAGAATTCACACTCTGTACTCTTCACCAGTATATTATCAGGAACTCGTCCCAGTATCTTATCAAAAATTCGCATACTGTCTTGTCTCCTTTCTAAATATCTAACCTATATGAAAGCCAGTGTGTGTCACGTCACGCTTGATTTCTCGAAATAAGAGGAATCATAAAAGCCAAAATGCATTCATCCAGATAGAATAGTTCGATTACTGTGCCCATGCAAGGGGGCCGTGACGAGAGATGCCGTGAAACCTTATAATTGTAGTGAATGTTGGTATAATAGGTCTAAAGTAAAGACGTAGTGTGGGATCACCTAACCTAGAGCCAAGTACCTAAAATATATCATGAATGTAAAAATATCGATTCAATTTTAAATTTAAATCGTTTATGAATTAAGCTATTTTCTGTTATATCACCAACGTTTTTAATAATAATAAAAAAAAACTCTTCAATCAACGGAGCCTCTAAATTAAGAAATCAACAAATATTTCGATACCCGTGGTGGGCAGAGCACAGATAGCCCATTGTGTAGCTTTATGCTTAACTTCAAACAAACATTCTAGTTGTGGACTCTAGTGGGTTAGTTGCAGCACTACGTGTGTGTCTTCTGTAACGTGGGACTACCACCTCAAAGCCCCTGGTTTTATCTCTTTTAAAATCAAATTTAATTTTTGCACCATTCTTAATAGTTTTGTTGCTGAATCTGCCTCATTTAGCCTTTTTTTTAATTTGCTTATCAACAACGTCTCATTTATACATAAGTTGCACTCGTCACATCCTCTAGCGTGATGAGCGTACGCACTAAAAAAGGTATTTTTTTAACAAACGTAAAACCTGAGCTGCACGAAATGAATTCACTAACAAAGTTATTAACAGTAATATAAAAATTAGGCTTGACTTAGTGAAATGTTGGATTCATTATGAAATGACACATCTTTAATCCTTTCTGATTTACTTCAAGTATTTCACATGGACTAAATGATATAAGCTTGTGCATCTTAATTGTAATATAACCAATTCGTTTTTTATTTATGTTTATTCAAACACTTGCGATCTGTATTTCTCATAATTTTAGTATTTAACTGCAAAACAACTGCTAATATTTCGAATGCTTTTATTATTTAACTGTAAAACGCTTGTGGCTTGTATTGCTTATCTATTATAACAATACTCAGTTTCCGCCCGCTCTGAAAATGCCTGCGCACTTCATTTCAACGGATGTAAATATACTTTAGTAGACATTTTGTGGCTTATCACAGTTTTTAGATAGGCCTAACGTTAGGTCGTATAATAACATTATACGTTTATTTATAAGTATGGTAAAGTTTAGTCCTAACTAAACTAAACCAATAACCGTAAACAAGTTACAGTGTTAATTTATCTCTTGTCGAATATAGGTCGTATGTAATAAATGCTTAACTAATGTTAGGACTAAGACAAGTGAACTTCGGTGTCTGTGATTATAATTATTTTTTATTATTCTTGGAATACTGTATTCAGAGAACTACTGTTGAAATAAAGATACTAATTTGACTATAGATGTTTTGCGGGTATCTGCGAATCTATTATAATAATAATACTATAATAAGCCTAAGACAAGTAGATTTATTGATTTCAGTGTCTGCGAGTAGAATTATATTGTATTAATCAAAATTCAGAAGCGGCAGTACTAATATTACAAATCTTCTGGTAACTCAGCGGTAAGCTTGAGGGCCTATAACATTAACATTCGGATTTCGATACTTGCGATGGGCACAGCGGAAATTGCCCATTGTGTAGATTTAATCGAACAAGCAAAATAATACAATACAAATCCGTTGAACATTAGAATTTAACCCTTTGACTGCGGCTACTTTAAATGCGCGATGTATTTTTTGCGAGCCGTACACTGTATACAGCACTCAACAGGTGAATCAGCAGTCAATGGGATAAAAGTTAGGCAATGAGCATAAAGATGGGAACACTATTTTTTTGATTTGTTGTTAAGCGTAAAGCTACGCCTGGAATATCTGTGCTGTGCCTACTACGAGTATCGAAACCTCGTTTTTAACTTTATAATCCTCCAACCAGACTTCCCTCTTAGTCACTGGGGGATTACTATTACTATTCTAAAACTTTGCAAATAAAAGAAATTACTTTTTTTTTGCTCCTCGCATTAATAATTTAATGATTCATTTGATGAAAAGTTTCTTGATTAATATGTTATCGTTAATCCACCGTCTGAATAATACTCTGTAGTAAACCCGACGTCAATTTAACTCGCCCTAAATTTTGTTTTCTGATTCACTCTAATTTCGGGCCCGGCATGGCCAGGTGGTTAGGGCGCTCGACTCGCAAGCTGAGGGTTGCGGGTTTGAATCTCTGTCCCACCAAACATACGAGCCCTTTCAGCCGTGGGGGCGTTATAATGTACAGTCAATCCCATTATTCGTTGGTAAAAGAGTAGCCCAAGAGTTGGCTGTGGGTGGTGATGACTAGCTGCCTTCCCTCAAGTCTTGCACTGCTAAGTTAGGGACGACTAGCGCAGATAGCCCTCGTGTAGCTTTGTGCGAAATTCAAAACAAACAAACAAACAATCACTCTAATTTCATAAACGACCACGGATGACGTCATTAAATGCTTTTTATATTTTCTAATTTTCTTTTAATAACGTTTTCTTCAAGGTTGAATACAGTATTTTTGTTTTATAAAAAAAGATAATTTTTGTTTACTCATGTTTACTTCTACCATATATGCTGAAAAAATAAATTATTAATATTTTTCTTAAGGTCCTCCAGTGGGTCAGTGGTAAGTTTACGAACTTACAACCCTAAAATCTGAGATTCTATTTTCCGTGATGGACAGAGTACAGAGAGCCTTTTTGGGTAGCTTTTCGCTAGACAAACAAATATTTGTTCTATTTCAAACTGATTTGATAATAGTCGGACACCTGTTTTTTCTATTAGCCATACAAGTTTCCAGTGACAATTCGACATTTCTAGCCTGTTAATCGAGTGGTCTATGATTTATATACACATCTAGGTTAAGACAGTTTTAAGCCCTAAAAAGTAGACTTTTTTGTTTTTAATTCAAAACTTTTAACTTTAATTTTTGTTCTTTTTAACCTGCTTTCTGGAAATATGTAGATTTAATAACTTGTGTATATTTTGGCTTAAACAGTTGGAACTTGTACGAGTTTTACTAAAGTTGGGCACAATTCTACTGTCTCCTTTTTGGGGGGAAACAACAATAAAAAATATGTTTTATCATCATCTTTTATACTTTTTCTTATAGTTATGTTCGTGTTCGATATTTTATACACGTATGTGTATGCCATTTTTACGCTATAGTAATTAGGCTCAAAATATTGCCCCAGTGGCTCAGGGGGTGATACTGCTAAAA